CCCAAAATCTCTTTAAATGTTTATGAAAATTAATAAAATATAATTATAGAAAAAAAATAAAAACTGGACAACGACTAAGGATGGACACAAGAATCTATGCCTTTGAACTGTGGTGAAGAGAAGTACTGAATACCCATCCCTTGCACTGCTAAAAGAGCAAATATGTCTTAGATAAGGGGCAGCCAGAGTGCTCCTTGGAACCAAAGATGATGAAGCTTTGCCTTATATACTTTGGGCAAGTTGCTAGGAAACTTATTCCTTGGAGAGGGACATCATGTTTGGGAAGGTGGGACAGTGAAGGAGAGGAAGACCCTCAACTAGGTGGACTGACACAGTGATTACAGCAATGGGCTTGAGGATGTTGGAAACTGTGAAGATGGCACAAGACAGGACAGGGTTCAGAACTGTGGTTTATAGCGCTGCTGTGAGTCAGTGATCGACTTGACAGCACCTAACAACAAAATGTCAGATCTCGGTTAAAAAAAAAAAAAATACACAACCTTGGGAGCTAACAAATTTTTAAAAAAACTAAAATAACTGACTAAACCACTATGCAAGAAAAACGAACTTTTTACTGGAAAAGGCGCCCTAAAGGCTTATTTAACGCTTGCTTCATGGCCTTCCTAGGGACCGACAAGGAAGGCAATGTATTCTTGCATCGGTTGATTCCTTTGACTTGATTCAGGGTTTTCCAGGGCTGTATCTTCACTGAAGCAGACTGCCACCTCTAAATCCCACAGAACAAACAGGTGATGGGTTCAAACAAGTAACTGTTCAGTCATCCAATGCTTATCCACTGTGCCAACAAACTAAAAAACCAAACCTACTGCTGATGAGTCTGACTCAAAGCGACCCTCCACGGGATTTCAGAGGCTATGCTTCTTATTGGACCCTGGTTGCACAGTCTGGGGGAAGTTGTGCCAACCCAGTGGCTCCCTGGGAGGAAATGGGCAGGCTCCTCCCATGCAATTTACAGCCTTGGAAACCCACTGCAGGGTCAGCGTGATGGATTAGGTTCTGAATCGATGGCAATGAGAGAGCTTATAGGAAGGGACTGGGATATTTCACCTGAGGAAGATTTGAACTGCCAAATTTCATGTTAGCAACTTTACTGATACACCATGTTTACACTATCAAGGACCTGTAATACTTTTTTCAGATGGGGCCAATTACTTATTCTCTTAATGAAATAAGTAAATGGAACTAATGCTTTGATACTGGAATAGTCCATGTGTGATTCTGATAGGGAAAAGTAGCAGGAGTTTTTCTACTTGATGCATCTCATCTATATACTGTAAACCTAGTGCCCCCAAGTCAGACTCCTAACTCCCAGCGAAAGGGAAGGACAGGAGTGCTCCTGTAGGACATCCAAGGTCGTAAATCTTTACCAGGGAGTCCTGGTCCGGGAGTTGTGCTGCTAAACCAAAGGCTGCATTTCCCTTCATTCAAACCCACCAGCAGCAGCTCTGTAAGAAAGAGGTAGGCAATCTCCTCTGTGGTATTTATTTACAGCCTCGGAAACGTGCCCGAGGGTCCGCTATGAGCTGGCTCTAACTCAACGACAATGAGAACTGAGAGAGAAATCTTTACAGAAGCAGACTGTCCGTCTTCAATGGAGCAGCTGGTGCTTTAAACTGCTGACCTTTTAGGTAGCAGCCTAAGTGCTACACTACCTAGGTTCAGCCCCACCCCACCCCACTCGTCAAAGAGAACCCTAGTTTGCTTTTCTTTCTTATCTAGGAACCAGCTCACAGGAGGCAGGGCACTTAATCCAAATTAGAACAAACTAGAGATGTCACACAATAAAGGAGCTCTCTTCTTGCAGAGAACAGGGAGAATGACATCTCTCCACCCAGTGATCTTGGAGGTTGGGGGAGGAGGGGAAAGGAGTTAAATTCAGTTAAGAACCACCAGCTGGCTTCTACTGTATCAAAGGTCTCACTAAATAGCTACCATGGTGACCCGGTGACCCACTAACATTTTCTGTTTGACTCAGTGTTTACTCCTAAAACATTTTCAGAAGTTCGGTTCATTCTTAATGATTATACAAGGCAGAATTAGCTAACAGATCATCTTTTTTCTGCCTGATAAGAATGAAGCACCATCTGGACGGACCACTGGTTTTCAGGTACCTCCCGCAAGCCTGAGTTCCAGGTTTCGGAGTGAGCAGGTGAGCTGGGTGACTGTCACAGATGATGCCTTTACAAGGCAATGCTGGCTTCGAACAGGTTCACTGCCGCTTCATACACTGCTGAGTATTTGAATTTTTTACTGTTTCTTACATACTGAATCAGAATCTACAGTTTAACAAGATTCTTAAGTATATATGAGAGTCACCCAGGAACTTGTTAAACAGCTCTGTGTTGGTCTTGTCAGCATGACTGGTAACTTCTATAGCAATAAAATGTCAAGAATTCCCAAAACCTACAATGGGAAAATGGACTATCATAGTTGATTTGCTTTCAAAATTTAAGCTAAACAGTAATTAGAAATGGTTGCCTTTAGATAAGGTAAGGAAAGTAGGCTTTGCAAGAACTTACAGCTTTTGTTTCAAATTGGGACATCATCACCTTTCCCCATTATTCTGTCAAAATTATAGATTCTGATTCATAATTCCATCTGGGTTGGAGAGGCAAATGCTCAGGGAGGGTAGTACCGGACTGAACTGGTTCAAAGCACTTATGCGAAAGCCAGCCAGTGACTGAACGCAAAGGGCAGGTTTTCACAAGTCCTTTCCGTCATGAAGCCAACTGCTTTTCCTGAATAGATGGAATAAGTACAGGACAAGGCAGATTATATTTAGAAGTCATTAGCCTTTCTCTTGTGATTTTTGGATGGTGA